TGTTCGGCTTTCACATGAAGGTTTTTGTTTGCTTTTTCTAAACCAAAGCACCACTACACACAATGGTCCATTCTTGTCTCCCATTGATGTTGCTGATAAAAATGGGAATTGGTTTCAAAGAGAATTTGACTACAAGACAAAGGAAAGAAGGTTTAAAAATATTTCGTTCTAAGAGAAAATCCTCCCTGAAAAATTAACTTAACACTGGGACAGTAAATAGCAACATCATTGGCCAAGAAGTTCTCACGTTATCAAATTCTTCTGAAATTGCATCATCTGGAGCCTATAAGGGACAGAAAAACTTGGGAAATATCATTAAAAATTCTTCTGTCTTTCCTTAAGTACAACAAATGTGTGAAAAATTTAGAAATCTTGTGTCTAAACAACAAGATATCCATAAATATCCATCGACAGGGCCCAGCCTTGGATGGAGTTCCGTGTTCCCTTCTTGGCGTGGCCCTTCCAGAAGTGTTGGAATCTGAAATGCAGGGAATTCTCAGAACTTTGGCTCTGGAAGCTGAAGTTCGGAATTAAACACAAAATTTGATCTGAAACTTTAGAAAAGGGCTTCTAAACTTAGGTGTTAGAAGTGAGAATGTGTGTTTGTAGTTTAAAACAAAAACACGTTAAGTTAAGAAGGAGAAAGTTTAGAGTTTTAGAGTTTAAGATATAGAAAAAAATAAAAGTAATTATAAAAGTAAACAAGAAGTTTAGAATGCAGCCCTGTATGTTTGTGTGTTATAACACGATTAACTAAGAAAACTTACACTGTAGTATGATTCTATAAGATGAAATATTTAAACATTAAGTCAAAAACATAATTATCTTTGTTAGCAGCGTTTTATTGGTCAATAAATTTTTTAAAGGTCTTGTAACTAAGGGTCTTGGGACTTTCTGAACTATGTGAGAAAAATGTGAGCTGAACTTACTCTTCCTAGCTATACAAAAGAATAAAAAAATAAATTGCATCATCTAAAAACTCCAAAGTGCTGTCTCTAACTTATTCAAAATTCCTTCTAAAATCCCCACACAGAAGGAGGAAGGACACCTGGGAAAGAAGCAGGGACAGGAAAGAGAATGACCCCAGAGTCTGGAAAACATGAGCTGCAGGAAGGATGGAAAGAGCAGCCTGGTGGTTTTTAAGGAGACCTAAAACAAGAGACAATTAAAGTTGCAACATAATTTTCTTGCTCTGAAGAGGCACTAAAAAATGTGTTAAATTGCTAAAGAAAAAAAGAAGAAACAAGCTGAAGTTGCAGCAGGACAGATTGAGTTAATACCAGATGTTCTGGGGAAGGAAGGTTTGAGTATCCAGCAGGAATAATTCATGATTATTTCTTTCATTGATATATATAATGACCATCAATAATGATCATTATTAATAATGATGATGTAATTATGAGTGAATTAATGATGATGATCATCATTATCAATAATGATGATTATTTCTGCTATTTGGTTGGGATCTGGGGGTTCTGAAGTTCTCCATGGAGATCCTGGGACAACCCTTCAACTTGTACTTCAGTTTATGGAAAAAAGTCTCAAAAAAAATCAAATTGGTTAAAAATAGGATAAAGATAAGAGATGTGGACATGGCCTCTTTTTAAAGAACATCAAGTCCAAGTTCCTCCTCAAATATCCAGAATAAACCAGGTGTTCTTGTTTGGCTGCTCTAAAACTTATCCCAACTTCTGGTTTGAAACTATCTTCAGCTTTTCAGCCTAAATTTAACTCTCAGTGGGATGGGATGGGATGGGATGGGATGGGATGGGATGGGATGGGATGGGATTGGGATGATTTTATTGTCAGGCTTTTTCATCTGTTTATGTTCAATATCTCTTCCTCCATTCCCAGGTTTCCCCCAGTGTAAATTAAAAAAGCAAATTCAATTTGCAGCAGCTATTTTTAGGTTTTCTCTCATAAGAAAAAACTTAACCTTCATTCTCCCACTCACTCTTTCCCTGCACTCCTTTCCCTACACTTCCCTCCAAGTAATTTTTTTCTGAATGAGTTTACAATTTCTTAAAAAGAGAAAAAATTCCCAATGAAAGGCTTTTCACTGCATTCCTTCCATTTAAATCCATCATTTTTGGGATTGTTCTTGGGATAATTCTCAAAGCCATGAACGATGTAATTGTAATATATTCTATACCACCAATAATAGGATATAAATACAAAATCTAAAAGCTAAACTTTGTCTATAAATATTCTCCCTGAGTATATAAATAGAAGAAGAAAGAAAAGTTTAGGTGCTTGATATTTAAATTAATGCGAAGAGATTCATGACCCACATACACTCATTTTTTAAAAATTCCTTCATCCTCAGTGGTTCATTCCTTAAACTCCTGTGTGCTTTTTTCCCTCTCTTTTATCACTGTCAGTGTCACACCAGTTTGGGAATCATCAAGGTGATTCCCAAAGATGGATTAGGGTTGTTTAGGTGGTTTAGGGTGGTTTAGGATGGTTTAGGGTGGTTTAGGTGGTTCCCAAAGATGGTTTTGGATGGTTTAGAGTGGTTTAGGTGGCTCCCAAAGATGGTTTAGTAGTTTATAAAGATCAAGGCTGAGCCTTTAATGGCTAAGGTTTTTTAACTAAAAGATTCTTTTTAGGAGAGGTATGTATGTGGTAATTTTGATTACCATTGTCTTAATCATGATTCCTTTCAATGTGTGCAGATATGAATTAATAAGGCCATTGAATAAGGGGTTTTGGTGGAAAAGAGAAGGGGGAGATATTGGGATAGTAAGACAAATGATGGACTTTGGACCTGGTTAGCATGAGAGATTTGACAAACAAAATGCCTTGGCAAGAGAAATCAAAACTGCAAGAAGATTCAAATCAGACTGACTTACCAAAAAAAGAAAATTACATCAGACTTCTGCAAGCAAGAGATGTTTAAAATGTGTGAGTTTGTTTATGTGATGATTAACCCAATCACTGCAGTAAAACACTACTAGACCTCCCAGAATAAGCAGTTGTAGTTCACAATAAATTTGGATTTTTGTACCATCTCACGAGTCCCCGTGGGACTTTCCTGACACTGCAAATCTCTCCTGGTTCACTGTAAAACCTGCAGGGCTTCTCCTGGAGTCCCAGCATCGTGGAGGCTGGAAAATCCCTCCAGGATCATCCCAGCTGTGCCCAGTGCCCACCCTGTCCCCAGCCCAGAGCCCTGAATGCCACCTCCAGGTGTTGCCTTTTTCCCAACCTGGAAATTAAATTTGGGATAATTTTAATAAGGAGGTGATAGAAAAGTGATTCTTTATTTGAAGGCCTTCAGGGACAGTTGTGGAAGGATGTCCACAAAAGCAATTTTACACATTTTATAGGTTTTAGGAAATCAGTATAATTGATAAAAAGCACCAATTAGTCCATCAAGGGAACCAACTTCACCTCTGCTGTAACAAATCTCTCAGCAGCTCCCTGACAGGAGGCTGGCAACAAGGGACAGGACAAGAGGGAATGGCCTCAGGCTGGGAAAATAACTCATCTAATGGTAATAATTTCTGGCATTTGGTTGGGATCTGAGGGTTCTTAAGTTCTCCATGGAGGTCCTGGAGCGTGGGACAACCCTTCAGGCTGGCCCACGGCAGCTCAGGGTGGGCACAGCAGGGATTTCCCCATGGAAAGGGGGCTCAGGGATTGGAACTGCCCAGGGAGGTTTGCAGTGCCCATCCCTGGAGGTGTCCCAGGAATTCCTGGAGGTCTCCGGCTCCAGGAGCAGCTGCAGGACGCAGGGACAGCCAGGAGGGAAGGCAGGCAGGCAGCTGCCAGGCTGTGAATCAGACCTTGCACTGCTCTGGAGGGCAAGTCTGCGGCTTGCAGAACAAAGAGCAGCTGCTTCTGACACTCGCAGCTTGGCTCCGTCGGTGGGGGAGCTGGATTTGCCATTACACATCCCGTGGAGGGAAAGTGAACTCAAACAATCCGTGCAAAATATTCTCTCCTGCCTTCTTGTCATTGATCAGGTCGCTGGGAAGATAAAGCCACCAGGAAAATGGATCCTCTAGGAAAATAACCCCAAATTCGGAGAACTGAAACCATTCCTGATGGCAGCTGCAGGACGGGCATTGCTGGATTTAGAAAGGCTGCCAGGAGTAGAATTGTACCAAAAGGTTTGATTCTTTTACATGGATGGATGGATGATAGGGAGAAACATCCCAAGCTTTAGAGTGATTTATTTAAAATCAACACAAAAATCCATTTCCACAGAACCCAGGAGCTCTAATTCTTGGGAGTTCCAAGGGTGTTTCAGGAGGGTATGGGATTAAATGAGGATGAGGGGCAGTGTGTGGGGGTCTCCTGAAGGAGGGAATGTTTAATTGGGGATGAGGGGGAGTGTGTGGGATCCCTGGAAGGAGGGAATGTTTAAATGAGGATGAGGAAGAGTTGTGGGATCCCTTGAAGGGGGGAATGTTTGAATGAGGATTAGAGGGAGTGTGTGGGATCTCCTGAAGGAGAGAATGAGAATGTTTCAATGGGAATCAGAGGGAGTGTGTGGCATCTCCTGAAGGAGAGAATGTTGAAATGATGATTAGAGGGAGTGTGTGGGATGCCTTGGAGGAGGGAATGGTTCAATGAGGATGAGAGGGATGCGTGGGATCTCGTGGCTGCTGCAAACACTCCCAGCAGCTAGGCTGGGCTCCTGGCTTTATTGTGTGGGATTTGAAGGCAGCGAGCGCTGAGGAATGAGCAGAGCTTGGCTGGGGCAGTGTCCGTGGATGGGGTGGGATGGGATGGGATGGGATGGGATGGGATGGGATGGATGGGATGGGATGGGATGGCATGGGATGGAATGGGATGGGACGGGACGGGATGGGATGGGACGGGACGGGATGCATTCCTGGCCGGGCTGGGAAGGAGCAGAGCCAGCCGTGAGTCACTGCAGCCGCCACAGAGGTTGGGCAAGAAGCGCAGCAGCACAATCGGAGCAGCCCCGTGACCTCACAGCTGCGCTCGGTATTTAAGATCCGGCTCGCAGATGTTGCGGGAGGCTCGGGCAGCGCACGGACGGCGGCGGGGACAGCGGGGGACACCGCCAGCCCTCGCTGATGATGGCACTGCTGCTGCTGCTCTCTGCCCTGCTGTGCGAGCGGGCTGCAGCCTGGGGCTTCAGGGATGGCGTGCTGCACAACTCCATCTGGCTGGGTAAGAAATCGCTCCCTCGCCAGCCAGCCTGCGCTGTGCTCGCCCCGCAGGGCAAGGATGAGCACCCCGCGGCACAGAACTCAGCTGGGTGTTGTTATCAGTATTTATCTGCGCTGAAATCCATTGAAATCGCTTTATCTGAATAGCCACGGTCCCTTTTTTACAAGCTCGCTGTTTGTACAGTGCCACTGAAGTGCAGGGAAAGGTATTTATTTACTTTAAAAGGTAATTGTAGAACATTTCGGCTGAATGTATTTTCCTGCAGCGGGAGGTAAAGTGAGAACTGCATTCATTAAATAACAGTGGCTTTGTTTTGAGGGAAAAGGAGCCTGAAAAGAAACATTTGCCAAAGGAATGAATTACTTTCTGCATGAACATACTTCCCATGCCTGGGGTCCTGCATGGGAAACTAAACGGTCTGGAAATAACAGTGATAATATTTCCTGGCTCTCTGGAAAAGTGCAGAAATGGGGATGCTTGGGCTGTTCACGTCGTTTGGGGAAGATTTCAAAAGGCAAAAATGCTGTGGGAAGGTTTCTGGTACCTCCAGTGGGTCCCAAGAGCTCTGAGGGTTCTTTTGTAGCTCGTGGAAATTATGGTTAGAGCAGAGAGCTAGCTCAGGCTAGAGCCTGCACAGGATGCCAGAATCAAGGCACCGAGCGCTCCGTTTCCCAGACAAACTCTCCCAAATCCTCCATCCCTGTCGGATGCTGTGGATTTCCCTGAGGATCTGCAGGGACCCCCTGGAGCTGGCAGTGCCCAGGGGTCTCCCGAGGCAGCCCCAGGCGGCTGCAGCCCCTCCCAGAGGAGCCCGCAGAGCGCCAGGAGCACAAACCAGGCTCAGGAAGGATCCTTTTCCATCTGGCTGCACGTTCAGAAATTTGGGATAACAGCGGTCATTTCAGCAGTTTAATGAATTGAAGGCGAGTGGAAGAAAAATCTTTTTAAAATGCTTCAAAACGGAGCGACTGTGTGCTAATTGGAAGGCGCCATAAAAATTCTGTTTGGCTACACCTCTAAGCATTTACCAGGAGAGTAAATAAAAATAAACGAGGGGGTAAAAAAACCTGATGGCTTTCTCTAAGTAAACAAACCGAAATAGAAATGCACCATCTTGTGTAAGTGCAGCAATAACATTACTGAAATGAACCTCAGAGTGCAGTTAATTCAGTCACCAGTGGAATTCAGGGACTCTGTATATAAATGAAGATAAAATTGGCAAATTCACAGCCATCCAGTTCACGCTTCTTTGCATTTAAAATAAAATAACTTGAATAGTAAAGGAAGTCACCCCAACCTCAGCCTGCCTCGAGCACCAGTGGAATAAAAGCAGGGGGTGCACAGTGACATCTGAGCTTTGCTTTTCTCCCCTTCTGATAGAGAAGCAAACCCAAAATCCAGGAAAATTTCCATTTTACCTTTTTCCTCCATTAACCATTAGCATGCATATACATATAGAAAATATATTATAGATAATATATAATTTATGTAATATATAAATATAATAAATAATGTATTATATACAATATAGAATAGATATCATATCCTATATAATATATAATATAAAACATTATGTAAATTTAAATTATTAAACTATGTAAATTTTACACAATTAAGCATTATTAATTTATTATACATAAATATATAATTATACATAAAATTTATACATAAATATACATAAAATTATTATTAAATTTTGTAAATATTATATATATGTAAATATATACATATATTCTATATAAATATATTATACATTATATATATATATGTAAATTTTGGATAGCTATCACTCTGGAAACACTTCTTTCACCTTTTTCCTTGTCCCAAAGCCTCTCTTGCTCCTCAGGCAGTGCTGCTGCAGCTGCCCCTGTCCCCTCCTTGTGGACGTGCTCCTGGTGCCACTGGAATTTTGGTGCTGCTCCTTTTTGCCCCCAGCCCGTTGTGCCCAGGGCTTTATTGTCAGCTGTGGGGGGGTTGGCACAGCCTTGCCCAGATTTGCTGCTGGGCTCATTGCAGTGCCAGTTCTCGGTGCTGAGGGCTTTTCCAGGACAGCTGCTGCCCTCTGTTCACAACTCCAATTCCTTTCCCGTTCCCACTCCCTGTCTCAGGGGGGTTTAGGAGCTGCACCATCCCCGTTTGGTGAAGCTCTCTGAGCAGCAGAGGCTCCTGCCAGGAGCTATAAGTGGCCACCCTCTGCTTAAAAATGAAATATTCCTCTTTATTTAGCATACTGCAGGTACTTTATTGGCAGATTTCATGCTGCCTGTGTTTGTGCTGCATTTCAGCTGTGGGTGAGCTGAGGGTCACTGCCCTGCAGGATCCTGCTGTCCCTGGCCTCCAAGGAGCCATTTGGGGAAGTGGAACCCGTGGCCCCGTGGCAGGTGCTTGTGCTTGCCAGAAAAATCAACATTTCCTGCAGGTTCACCCTCAGGGCCGTGAGCTCACCTCCACAAACAGCAACTCCTGTGCTTTTTCCTGTGGCTGCGGGGATGGGAGCACCTGCAGATCCATAAACATGTAAACGAAGGGTTAACCCTGCTCTGACCTAGCCCTGCGCTTGATGCTGGGTTTATCTCGTGTGGAATTAAGGAGGAAGGGGGAAATATTGCCAGAGCAGGATGCCACCAGTTAATTAGGGTTTTGTGCAGCATCGCTGAGTGCCACCCAGAGCCAGCAGCACTCCCAGGGCTGGGGCAGGACGTGTGTGTGTGGTCTGGTTTGCCAAAAGCTGCTCTGTCACCTTCAGAGCAATAAAAGGGATGGAAGCTGGCTGCTCCTCACAGGGTGCTGCTGCTGCTTCCAGCCTTGCAGACTGTGAAGGGCTGATCTCCCCAGCAACGTGTCCATTCTTCTGCTTCTTTTCTGCCAAAAGCAGGATTAAATGTGTGAGAGGGTGTTTCTTGTTGGGACTCAGGTGTTTGTTAGTTCTTATCTCTGTCACAGTCTCACAAACCCTGAGCTCTGCAGCACTGCACTCTGACACACTAAAAATGGAGCCCCATCTCTCTCTCTACAAAGCCTTTAAAGGATAAACTGTCCAATTAAGAAATGACACCTCAATTATTTTCACTTTTAACCTAATAACCAACCACATGTGCCTGCAGTGTGGACTTTTTTATTTAATTACACAAAAACCACCCAAACCCATGGAGAAGAAAGTGAAGAAGAAGAAGAAGGACCAGCCTCCACCCCAAAACTTCCATCTTGCTCTCTATATATCACTATATTCTAAACCTTAAACTCTGTTTTCCACCCTGTGATATCACACACTTCTCTCCAAACTCCACAGCCACAATCCCAGTTCTCTCATTCCATTTTGGAAGGTTCTCCAGGGCCTCAGGTCAGTGCAGTGTTCTCCTGGGGGTCAGTGCCTGGCAGCACAGAAAGTCTGGAATTCCCAGCAACCAACAAAAATAATCTGGAAAACCTGATGCCTGTCCATAGGGACATTCCAGCGGTAGGTGGGGGGAGATGCCTTTAGAGGGATAAGATCTGAAAATAATATTGCCAGGTGGAAAAAAAACCACCTAAAAATGGTGAGATTTTAGTGGCAGCTCTGAGAGCTCAGGGAATACAATCAGTGGTTTCCAGCCCCTTCCCTGGGCTCTGCAAGGATCAATAATGGGGATTCCAGGCTTGCAGGCCAATGATTGATGCTTCTCATGCCCAGAACTAAGAACAATGTGAAATGAAAAACTTTTCAGAAGTTAAAAAAATTAAATTAAAAACGTTCAGAAATTCTTCAGAACTTTTGTCACCAGTCCTTGTCCCTCACACTGTGCTTTAAAACCATCAATGTGTTGAATTCTCTAAGAAAATCAACCCCATTTTCTGTGCCTCAGACATTTCCAGGATCATTTCTTATTGCCTTCTGCAGATCCTTCCCCAGTCTTATAAACACGGCAAACATGGGAAAAAAATCATTCCAACTTTTTAAACTGTCATCTGAGAAATGTGGGAAATGGATTTATAGAAAATTAAATTACACTTATAGTGTATTGTAATCAAAAAACAGTTAGCTTGTAATTGCAATAAGGTGAATGATAACATCTGTGTTGTCTCACCATTCTCATGGGACTAAAAATAGAATAAAAGTTTTTAAAATGCCTCTGAGTCAGAAAAGAGCATAATCCAACAAGAAAGAGTAAAAACATAATTTATACCTGGAGCAAAATATCAGATTTTTTATTATCAGCACTTGTAAATGCCAACTTCCAGTTAAAATAAAAACATTTTCAGAGCGTGCAGGCAGGCCCAGGTTCCTGGGGGACTCAGGGATTCCCCAGCCCTGCATTCCCAACCCAACATTCCCAACCCTGCACACACACACTGAGCTGATTTATCTTGATTTCTCATGGGCTCAGCTGTGACAGCCTGCTGAGTGGCTGCAAAGTAATACTTCCTGTGAATAAATCCCAAGTTCTGCTTCTGCTTTTTTGCTTTGCTTGCTCTCAGCCATGCAGATTTGCCACTCTGCCAACCTAAACCAAATGTTTGGGTGACTTTGGCTAATGCTTCAGGTTTAGATACCAAATGTTTGTCCAACACAGCCCCCCAAAAACCATTTTCCACCTCTTTAAATGGTGTGCCAGTGGGTGTTTGGCCAATCCCAAAATATACTCAAAAAGCTGCAGCAGGCACATTTGTGGGATCATCCCAAATCATTTTTGGATTCTGGTAGAGGCATGGGAACAGTGGGTTCCTCACCTCCCCAAGAAATCTTCTGAGCCTCAAGAATCAGAGAACCTTGGCTCTGTACATGGCCTGTTGTGTCAAATGGAATTACCCAGGCAAAATCCATCTTTAGTTAAGGATGTTACTCCCTTGCACATATATTTAAAAATCCGACCTCATGAATGAATTGCTGTGAATAAATTCTTAATTTAAAAGGAGTTTTTGTACTAACATGCCACAATCCCCCAGCTGTGGGTTGTTAGGCTCCTTCAGGAGGATTTTTCCGTGGAGGATCTGTTATGCCATGCCAGTGATATTCCCAGGGA